CAGGTTCAGGTTTTTCAATCAATTATTGAGGGTGATTTGTAACGGTTCACATACTAATTGCTGAAGCGATCGACTCACTCAAACCAATGTCGGAGAGACCTTCCGTACTACACAATTATCGAGAATTGCCGGAGATAATCCAACACATCGGACAGAACCCTCAAATCACGAGGCCAGGCCATTGGAGATGAGCCTGGATACCGAACCTCGAGTCGAGCAACTCGCTCACTTCTTGCCCAACCATCTGAGGGCGGCTTATGTGACTTTACCACATGAGTCGTGTGGGTCTGGACGCGACTTATATGCTTTTAACGTGCTTTTTCTATTTTTGACGGGTTTTTCAACCTAACAACTAGACTCAATCCCAACTATATAAGGAACACTAGAGCACGATTTTTAGAAAGTGTTTTTTTTTTTTTGAAAGTTTCGGAGAGTTTTGGAAGCTCGGAACACACACAAGACGAGTAATGAAACCGGGAATAAAAGATCGATAAAGCCGAAAAAGCTTGTTCTTTTTTCTTCTTCTATATTTTTGAACTCAATATTTTACATTTATTTTCCTGATTTTATAAACATGTTTCTAGAATAATTTTATTTTAGATTCTAGGATTTGTTAGTATTGTTATAATATAGTTTTATTCGGTTCATTCTAATTTATCTTTCGATTATGAATTTTTTTGTGCTTATTTTTATTGTATGAGTAGATGACCACTATGAATATATATTTGTGATCGATTTTGGACTAAGAGGAGATAATTGATTGCTGGAATTGAGAAGTTTATAAAGTAAGATAATAAACAAACCGAAAGGTTGATAGGATCTTACGAATGAATGAAAATCGTAGGAATTTAGGGAGTTATTTGTTTATCTTGAGATCAAGAGGAGATAGTTAGTAATTAATCTGTGATTTAGCTTGTTCGAGAAAAAAAGGTTAAATTAATTAACGATTATCTTTATGAATAAGGGTTACACGAATTTAAATGTTTCATGAATTAATTCCAAAGAACTCTTAACCTAGAATCTATCTTTAATTCATATCTTTCTTATTCCATAATTTAGATCAAGTTTATTTCTTAGATAAATTAATTCTTATTTTAATTTCTTAGTTTGTAATCATCATCCAGATTCATTAGTTTAGATAATATTTAATCGTCATTATTTTAGTATTTAATTAATATAACTACAATATCTATGACATACGACCTTGCTTGCCGCATGCTATAGCTACATAGTACACTTGCAGGCAGTGAAGATATTTTGCGAACACTTTTTCACACAACACGAAGGCACCAATCATCAATTGCGAGCCTTTGGGTCAAGGCTTAACTAGAGTAGGAATTTGATGAAGCATGGGTCGAGGTCTAACACCTCAGACCGAACCTTGAGCCTATATATATAAGTATGAGTGCTTGACAAGTCACTTGCATATAAGTGTAATTCATCTAAATAACCTAATTCCATCTAAATTCGAGTTGATTTTGTGCCAAAGCTGAGAAAATATTTACTTGGATAGATTATTCTTATTGAAGGGTTGAGACAAATTTGAGCAAAGTTCGAGTAAATCTTGGGCATTTGTACACTCGTATCGAGCCAAACCGAGCCTTAAAAATATTGGCTTGTCGAGCTGGATCACCAGTGAAAAGAATAAATCTTTCCTTAATAAGGCTATTTCTCGACTCGGCTCGGCTTGGCTTAGCTCAACTCCGGTCGTCTGCAAGCCCTATCATCACACACTTCTTAAAATAATTTAAGAATTTTACCTCCCTTACACCTCCATTTAAACTTATTTTTAAAATTACGTAGGTTACCTTATTTTCAAGGATACGACTAATTATTATGTTCACGACTAATGCATTAAATATTAACCAAGGTTACTAAAATTTTGACCGCGCGTCGCGATGTGGCAAATTTAAATTTATAAAGCTTTCCTCAACTAACCTCTACTAACTAGTAGTAGTGGCGAGTATGGGTCGATCCCACGAGGAGCAGGAAATAAATCGTTATAATTCTTGTATTAATTGAATTAAACTACGAAAGCAGTAAAGGGGAGGGATTGATTTTATAAGACTAAAACTAAAAATAATAAAATCAAGTAAAATAAGAGAAGTCCAGTTTTTAGTTCAGTTATCATCCAATCTAAATCTATCGTTAATTAATTTTGAAGCTTTCTCTAAATTGATAACGAATTACCAACCTTAGCTAACAACAAACTCTGTTAACCAAATTTTTTCTTACCGATTGTTTAATCGAAATAAGCTCTTCGACTAAACCTAACTAGTGGACAACCTAGAATAAACTCTCTAGATTTAGTGCACTAGCAGCATTAATCTTTAGGAAAATAGATTAGTCTAAGCAACTGGCACAAAAGTTCGGACCATTTAACTTATGTTCACGCTACCCTAGAGATGCACGACCCCTAGTTTACTACAAATGAAACGAGACAATAACAATTACGGATTAAAGTCTCGAATCTAGCAATTAAACTATGACTATTTAACGTAGTTGGCCAAACTAAATCAAACACCATAATTTATAAACATTATGTTGGGTTCGCCTGTACTATACGGGTTATTAGCAGCGGAAAATTATGTTTCAAAAACAAGTATTTATCGTATAAATACTCAACCCATACGTACATATAGCGATTGCATAGATCGTCATCATTTAAAAATATGTAATAATACAATTTTTGATTTGTTGTAAGTAAATTCAAAATTTACCTTTATTCTTGAACTCCTTCAAAAACGAGATGTATGAGGAAATCAATTCCCGGTTTGGTAACGTCCACTCCTTGATGTTACTCGCTTTAGGAATCCAAATGTCTTCCCTCTAAGATATCCACCTTTTGAAATCCGGTTCCGACAATAGTTTCTTCGCTAGTAGAAACTACTCGGTTTTTCAATAAGTATGGAATATAAATATATATATGAGGAAATTTTACAAGAACTCTTTCTTGTTTTATCACTCAACACTTGAATGTTATTCTTAGCTCAACTCTTAAGCTCAATATCTCTTGGAAGAACTTAGCAAATTTGAACATCAAATATGTCCATATTTATACTAAACATTTTAGTATAAAATAATAATATTGGGTAGAATATTTTCATAAAATATAAAAAGTCTTCAAGAATATTTTCATAAAATATTAAGTCTTGAATAAGACTATTCCCTACCCAATATTCTATTAATAAAAATAAGATTAATTATGTGAAGTGGTTAACAACTCTAAACCACCATAATTATTTTATTCTTATTAATATTTAATCTTTAATCATATTAAAGATAAAATAATAAAATAATAATTCTTGAAAGCATCTTTCAAGACTTTATTATTTTAATCTTTTCTTCCATTTCCTCATTTAATAATCTTATTATTATTTGGATTTGAAATTTAAAATCCAATTTTAAATTCCAACTATTAATTAGTAATTCCATTAATTACTAAATTAATATCCAAAATTCAATTAATCAATCCAATTGATTATTTAATATATTCCTTTAATTGACATCTAATCAAATTAGATTTGTCAATTATTTCTAACTCTTTAGAATTACTATTTGAATTTTACCTTCATTCAAATTTAGGTGTGACCTTTTAGGTTCACAATTAATACTAGTAGTGGGCTTACAACTCTTTGTAATTTGAGTTAATCAAATTAACTCTTGTTCATGAATTAACTTCTTAATTCAAGAACCCACATATCATGGTAACATCTAGCAAGTAGCATGAATCTAGTATTAAGTGAATAGCGAGTAAACCTATTTCAATTACAAGTCCATACATGTAAAATCCTTTCGACATCCAATTTCCCGATTAAATCTTGGGTATGATTTTGTCGAAACCCAAATTGATTTAATAACTATGATTCTATTTCAAGTTTAGTAATTCGTGTATGAATCTCTATTCATCCTGCCTTGGCCAAGGACTTTGAATTACTAACTATGAAACACATAGGAAATTCACTTATCTTCATAAGTGTCGAATCCTTTGTTGGCCACTAACAAACTTCCATACATATTAATATAATACCCAAAATATCCCTTTATACGATTGTGCTAGCAACCAAAAGGATAAATCAAAGTAAAATATAATATGCACAAAGTTACCATCGTGCCTCAAGTCTAAGGATTAGTCATGTACCATTGTAACATGAAAATTCTTATTCGACATGATAAACTTTCATTAAGAATTTTCATACGGTCATGTTCAGTGAACTTGTTATCTAACAAGCACCCACATATATGTATTTGCGTCCCATGCTAATGTTGATGAAATGCAACATTCTTGTCCAACAAGTATACATCATATGTGCAAGTCTTTTCCGGATTTATTCGATATCCCATCTCGAAACATCCAACGACTTGGAACTATGTTTAAGATCACAGCTTTCAAGGTATGTTCCATGATCACCATCTCTATGCGCAACCATACCTTATAGCTATATGTGATCTAGGGATTTTATCTTAAGTGCAAATATAGGATAAATGCTTACTCTTAAAATAAAGTAATGCCTTTTAATTAATATAATTCCAATAGATTGTATTTACAAGTAGAATACGTCCAATTTGATTGGAACGCCGGGTATCCTACTCTAACACATTCGACATAAATAGCATGAATTAACTCATCAACAAAATAAATACGACGTTTCCATTAACCAACGATAAATAAAAGGCAAAATTGCTCCTCACATCACGACCTTTTCGACTTTTGTGTTTCTGTCACCACTTTGAGACTTTGGCAATTTGATACCCAACCTTTTGGTATTTTGCAAGACCAAGCATTGAACACATTACCGGCCGACCAATGCCAACCTGTCCGGCCATTTAATCCAACATGGCTCTGATGTTGACGACGTGGCTCAGGCAACATATACATGTCAGCAAATCCAACTGTTCTTATAAAATAAAATAAAAAAAGACAAACAAAATCAATCCTAAATACATTTGGAATCCCTAATCGACACCCCAACCCAATTCAACAAAAAAACCCTTCAACTGAAAATCGACAGTCCCAAATTTTTCTCTGCAAATTTTAAATCCTTTTCCGAACCCTATTTTCTCTGTAAATGCGAAGCTGATTCTGTATAAATCCAAGAGCCATCGATTGTTTTTGTTGAAACAACTTTCTGAAGAACCCTAGAAATTGTTGCAACTGATGGACAGGTATGAAACATCATCTCTTCTCTTCTTCTTTGTTTTTTGTTTTCATATAAGTGCATTATGCATTATTTATTTATAATTGATAGATTATGGTTCATTTAGGTGTAGTATGTTGATGAAGGTTCTCTGATTTCTGAGAGAAATCGTATACTCTATGTTTTTTTAGAGAAAAATTATCAATCTTTGTCAATCACGGTGGGAAGTTTGTTATGCTGGATAATGCGATGGAGTATTTTGGAGGAGATATTCACATCAGCCATGGTATTGATATTGACAGGTTTGGTTATTTGGATTTAGTAGATGTAGTTGAGAAACTTGGTTATGTTGAGGTTGGCAAAATTTATCATAAGATTTGTGGAGAAAATGGATCGGTTAGTTACATACATATCCACAATGATGCTACTTTGATGGAGGTGATTGGGAGTTTGCAGCCCAACAAATTCCATGTTCATCTATTTGTTGATAATGAAAAAGACGGGCAGAAAAAGGCTTCAGAAGAATCTGTGATCAATAATGCTGGTGAAAAGGGGGCAGGAGGAACCACTGATCATGTTCAACCTACTTGTGTTGATGATGTTGATGATGATAATGATAATGATGAGAGTGATGATGATGATTATAACCCATCAGATTGGAGTTCTAGTAAAGATGGACTTTCTGAGGGTGACTTGGGAACTGATGATGAGGAGTACCTTCTAGCAAGGAAAACAAGGTTTTTTGGTGACAAGAAAATGAACAGTACACAAGATGACTCTCGGAGTGGACCCACCAATGGTGATCCAAGTGAACTACTCAGAGAGTATGATGCATCAGAGTATGGAGACTCAGATGAAATTGATTCAAACACATCAAATGATGATAGTGAGGATATTGAAGACAACAAGAGAAGGAAAAAAGATGAAAATGGTGTTGTATGACCCAAATTGTGATCACAAGGCACTGGCATTTCAGCTTGGAATGCGATTTGAGAACATTGCTCAGTGTAAAGAGGCCATTCAAAGTTGTGCTGTGTATAATGGGTGTAAATTTTGGAGAGTGAATCAACATCAGGTAGAGGCCAAGTGCATTGATGGTTGTCCTTGGAAGATATATATATGCTAGTGAAATCAAGGCTGAAGGAAGAGTTGCAATCAAGATTTTTTTTTCAAAGCACAGTTGTACCAGGGACATTAGAACAAGACAGGCTAATGCTAGGTGGATTGCTAAAGAATGCATTAACAAATTCAGAAAGAAGCCAAGAATGAAGATTGCTGAGTTAGAGGATTACCTACTTGAAAAGTATGTTGTTCAGCCTTCAAAATGGAAGTTGTATAGAGCAAAGAAGAAGGCATTGGACATGATTAGAGGATCTGAAGAAGAGCATTATAAGTGCTTAAGAAGCTACATTGCTGAGTTGATGAGAGTTGATAGGGCTGGGAGGTTTGAAGTTCTTTTGGAAGAGGGCAGCTTTTTCAAGGCCATGTATGTTGGGTTTAGTGCATTGAGGGATGGGTTTTTACAAGGATGCAGACCAGTGATTGGATTAGATGGCTGCTTCTTGAAGACATCTTTAGGAGGTGTCTTGTTGTGTGCAGTGGGCAAAGATGGAAATAATCAGATTTACCCAATTGCATGGGGAGTTGTTTGCATGGAGAATGAATTTACTTGGTCATGGTTCTTGGAAAAACTATTTTCAGAGCTCAAAATAAGGGATGGTTTGGGCTGGACTATCATAAGTGATCAACAAAAGGTTAGAATAATACTTTACATATGTACAATATTCATCTATTACAGAGTTGATATTTTGTTTATTCATATTATGCAGGGACTTATGAATGCTGTGAGGACTTATGCCCCACATGCTGAGCACAAGAATTGTGCTAGGCATGTGTACATGAACTGGAAAAAAACTCACAAAGGGCAGACTTTGAAGAATTGCTTTTGGAAGCTTGTGCATAGCACATATGAGGCTGAATACAAGGAAGCACTTGAGGATTTGAAAGCAGTAGATGATAAAGCCTTCAAGGACTTCTTTACAAAAGAGACTTTTAGGTTCTGTAAGTGTTTTATTTCAGAATCTCCTAAGTGTGATATGATTTTGAATAATGTTTGTGAAACATTTAATAGCACCATTGTGAAGGCTAGAAAGGAACCCATTGTGCAGATGCTAGAAAGCATTAGAAGTTATGTGATGGAGAGGCAACATGATAAGCTTAAGTTGATTTGTGGCATTACTGATAAGATTTGTCCTAGGATTAGAGTTAAGATTGAGGAAAATAGGTATAAGAGTAGGCTTTGTTGTACCAAGCCAGCCTTAGGAGAAAAATTCCAAGTTCAGTTGTTAGAAGACCAGTTTGTTGTATCCTTGAAAGAGATGACATGTACATGCAGATCTTGGGATGTTAGTGGGATCCCTTTTGTTCATGCATGTGCAGCAATAAACTGGCTGAAGCATGATGTGAGTGACTATGTGCATCCTTATTACTATGTTGAGAGGTATATTACAGCTTATTCAAAAGGACTTGACCCTCTCAATGGTAAAAAAATGTGGGCTGAAGCTATTGGTTATCCAATCAAACCACCTACTCTTAGAAGGATGCCTGGGAGACCCAAAAAAATTTCAAGAAAAAGAGCACCTGAGGAGGAGGCAAAGAGTAGCACAAAGCTAAAAAGGTTCGGATTGCAAATGACTTGCCAAAATTGCTTTCAAACTGGCCATAATAGGAAGAGTTGCTCTAATGCCTCAGTTCAGATTCCAAAGAAGGTAAAGTGATTTGATCTCAAATTGTATTCAAAATTAGAATTTAGTGAATTGGAAAATATAAGCTCTAATGCTTATGTTTTATGCAGAGTCAAATGAAGAAGAAAGAACTAAGAAGAAAAACTCCACCAGCTCAGAACTTAGTGCCACAACCCTCTGCATCTGAGAATCCTCCACCAGCATATACACAAACTGAAACAGCTCCTCCAGTTGCTCCTCAATCTGCTATGAAACAACCAATTAGGAAATCTCCCAGGTTGACTCAGACTGAACCGACTTTAAATGATCATCAAATACACAAAGAACACAATTTGGTAACATTTATATTTTTCTAATTTTGCTCCTTTAATCTTCATTGGTTTTAATCTTCATTGGTGAACATTAAAAGACATTTATATTTTTATGACAGGCAAAAAAAGGTTATGGAGTCTTGGTGTTTGAGCAGACTGGCAATATTTACATGAGGGTATAAATTTTATCTTTATCTGAGCAGGCTGACAATATTTACATGAGGTTATGTAGTCATGTTTATGTTTATGTTTCAACAGATGTCTACTACAAGAAGAGTTCATCTTGTACATGGAGGCCCATCAGGTAGAGGTGGGAGTAGTGGCAGTGCTAGTGCCAGTGGAAGTAGCTCACATAGAGGAACTGGTAGAGGTGACAGTGGAAGGACTAGAAGTGGCAGAGGTCACACCATTGGCACTCAAGAAAGTGCAGCCAGTTAGTTCAATGGATGTTTGGTTTGGTTTTTGGTGAACACATTTGTTGGATGTTAGTTGTTGGAATGATTGGTCACAAACTATTTTCTTAGTTGTTTCATGTATTGATACTTGGTTTTGCTTGGATGTTTGGACAAAGATTATGTTTTTGGTTGGATGTGTGGACAAAGATGATGTTAACTATTTTCAGAGTTGTTGACAGAAGTGATGGTTTTTGTTGGTTTTAATCCAAATGCACTTGGATAGTTTGGTGCTCTTCATTACTTATTGTTTGGTGTTTTTTGTTTGGTGTTGTTTGGTGCTCTTCATTACTTATAGGTATGTAAATACTACGTGAATGAATTAACACAAAACATAAACACAATACACATTATTATGTCCCCTAAACAACAGAAAGAAAACCTCATCTCCACCATTGTAATGTAAAAGACAAATATGAATAATAAGGTCTTCAGTTAACTAATAATAACAACTAAAATACATAAGTTTAGTGAAAGATCACATCTTCTTTCAATCATAAAACCAAGAACACAATATTCATCAGCACACCTTGCACACCTTCAATCAAAAGTCATCAACCTTCTCACACACCCAAAGTAAACCTTCAATCAAAAGTCATTAACCTTCTAAACACACCCAAAGTCACGTTAACCTGCATCTACTTCAGCACTAACAGAAAAACAACACAAGCCAACATGAACATTACAAATGAAGTTGGAAACTTCTCCTTCTTAACAAGTGTGTCTATAAACTCCTCCAATTTAGCATGTTTCACCTGCAGCTCCAACATCTCTCTTTCTATGATGTCCAATCTTAAGGTTATCACTTTGACCTCCTCTTCTTTGCATTTCAATTCATCACCCAAACCTTTCCTTTCATTCTTGAACTTCAAAAAAGCAGCCTTTTGAGATGGTGGAATCTCAGGATCACACCATAAGAAGAACTTACAGTCCTTAAACTACAATACAATCATTAGATTACAAACATCAAAATTCTTTTATGACGAATTAAAAAAAAATTAGGGCAAAATCTGTCCATCATGTTTCGAATTATTTCTAAAAAATTAGAGTAAAATCTATCCATAAAACTTACCTTTCGACGTGGACAACGGAAGTATCTTCGACCCGGATTTGCATCAGTTTGCGAGATCAGCAAGTCGGCCTCATCTGGATAGTAACAACGGACTTGTGTGTGGGTTGCACTTCCATTCGAAGCTCCACTGTTGGTCGAGCTTGTTGCCATGTGTGGAGGGAGGGTCGAAGATAGAGATTGCAGTGATTCTGTGCAGCTGAAGGAACAATTTGTTGTCGAAGATAGGGTCGCACGTCGAAGATTAGGGATGGATTTAGGGATTTGTGATTTGAGTTTGGGGATGTTTCGGTTTTATAACAGTTGGATCAAAGAAACGACGTCGTTTTGCTGACATGTATATGTTGCCTGAGCCACGTCGTCAACATCAGAGCCATGTTGGGTTAAATGGCCGGACATGTTGGAATTGGTCGGCGGTAATGTGGTCAATGCTTGGTCTTGCAAAATACCAAAAGGTTGGGTATCGAATTGCCAAAGTCGCAAAGTGGTGACAGAAACGCAAAAGTCGAAAAGGTCTTGATGTGAGGTGCAATTTCGCCTAAATAAAAATTAATCAATTCATAAACAAATTGAAATTAGGGTTCAAACATCTCCCCAAACTGGATAAAAATACTAGTCTAACATGCTAATATAAATAAATAAAGATAAAAGAGAGATAATAAATTCTCCCTCATGTGCGGGTGCAGCTTCCGTCCGCGAGTGGTGTAGCTTCTTCTCTTCTGCCTGTGTGTTTGGCTCTTTTCCTCCGTAAGGCTTTTTCTTTCTGTTCGCGTCTCTGTTCTCTTGCAAAAATAATCCCCCCAGCAGCCCTCCAAATAATTCCTTCCTATCCTGCAAATAATGTTTAAGACTCCACCACTCATAAAACTCCTTGGCTGCGTGGCGTCTAACTCATGTCCAACTCACCCAAATCATGCCTTATGATTTAATTTCCTCAGCAAATAAAAAAGGCGAAAGGACATATAGACGATCGGTGGATCAACTATTTGGAAATTTACGAGAACTGAAAGTTGCTTCCTTTCATACGAGTTTCACAAGGACTTATTTAAAAAAAGCTAAGATTTCAATGTAAACGGAAGACAAGAAAAAAATGTAAAACCAAAAATAATAAAATAACGCTCTCTCTCCTCTCATTCCGTAACAAACTGGACCACTATTCTTTTCACAAAAATATAAGATCCATATTTATCTCCAATAAATCTTCTTTATTATCGTCATGGTTTAATTTGTCTATTTTTTTTTTCACTAAATTCACTACTCTCTTTCATACACTCATTCCAAATTTTTTACTGTTCTAGTTTTTACCAGAATGTATAGTGGAGAAGTAGCCACACTATATTCAATATTTTTTTTTTCGAGCAAAATAGTTGGAGAAAAATATTATGTGGACTTGGGAGGGTTTTATGTTACTTAAGAAGATGAACTTTTTTTTCTATCTCCATGGATCTACTTTTTATAGTAGAGTAATTCAATATTGGGTTACATGAATACTTCATTCATATAAATACAAGATATAAAATTTTGTTGGTCTTTGATTGCATAAATTTATCTAGTTTATTTTCAGTTTATCTTCAGTTTATGAATCGGTTTTTTTACCATAAATTTATATTTAGATTAATTTTTGTTTATTATAGTTTTATAAACCATTACAAGAATACTTATTTTTAATTTATTATAGGTTTATAAACCATTGCAAGAATAGAAACTGTATATTTAAGTTTATGTATAGTTTATTTTCAGTTTATTATACCAGAAAATTGAATATATTTTCAGTTTATTTTTAGTTTATTTTCAGTTTACTATACTAGAAAACTGAATATATTTTCAGTTTATTATACAATAAATTCTTATACAAAATAAATTGAATATATGGATAAACATCAAATTTACTCTCAAATCGTTAAAAAACAAACTCCACATAAAAATCGTTAAAAATACAAATATATCACATACTAAAAAAACAAACTCAACATTGAATCTTCTTAGTTTACATCAATATATGCATAAACATACTAAAAATATAATCCGGTGGTGGGATCTGCAAGGGCAGTACTCCCAACAAGCATCGCAATCCGGCGGTTTGTGTAATGGGTTTCGAGCCATTACCGTCACCAATTTTCCGTAATGAACTCATTGGAAAGAATTACCATTCATGGACAAAAAATTTCAAAGTCATTGTTTCAAAAATCAAAGGAAAATTAAGCAAAATTTCAAACAAAATCCAGCAACTCACTCACAGATCTGAGATTCAAATGTCAATTAAATGAGACCCCCAACCAAAAAGGCAAATCAAAATTAATGATACCCTAAATCAATAATTGGAGAATTTGCTCCACCTTTTCGGCTACACGCCCTGCGCCTCGAAGGGTTATATTCCGAGCCTCAAGGCGGCAGACGGCGGGAGGTAGGAGATGAAAAGAGAGAGGATCTCGAATAGTCGGAGTCGGAGATCCCCCGCTGGCGGTGCGTGGGGTAGCCGAAGGAGGGAGAGGATGCACATCACGTTCCAAAGAAGGAGGGAGACGATGTGCTGCGCCGATCACTGTTCTTAAATAATAGTCAAGTGGGATTAAAGGAATATAAATCTCGTGCCGTGGTAAAGAAAAACTCAAACTTGATATTAATTTTTTTTTATCGTAAATAGGGAAGAAAACTTATATGACGTCGTCCAGTAGGTAATTTTCTCAATAAAAAATAGCACTAAGTCCTTAT